GAGCACTGTCCTCCCTGCCCCACCTGGCTTTCAGCGGCTGCACAGGGGACGCTGCAGTCTCCAAGGTACAGTTAAGGCATCTCTCTCAGGGTCCTCCTCTTGGCCTCCCCCAGGTGGACTCCTTTCGGCCTAGAGAGGAGCAGGCACAGCTCTCAGCCGGAAGCTCCCTCTGCCTGGGACAGGCCTCCCTCCCCAGGTGGAGGCTTACTGTGCACCCACTTCATCAGCTGCTGTGGGCTCTGGGTCCCAGGATAGGTGTGGGGGGGGCAGTGTATCCTTCTGCCTCAGCCTCCCCAGTGCTAGGATTACAGGCATGTGTAATCACCATGCTAAACAGTATTTTTTGTTATTTGTTTTGAGTCCAAGCTAGGCTCAAACTTGTAATCCTCCTGTCTCAGCGTCCTGGTGTGCTGGGATTACAGGTCTGCATGCCTGGCTCTTCCGTTCGTTCTTGGCAGCATTCGATGCTGCTGGCTGCCTTGTCCTTTGGACAGGCTCTCATAGATGTGAGTTGTGTCCTGATCATCCCTTCTCATTCCCTCAGCTTTCTTCCTGTTAATGCCTCCTCTCCCAAACAGTGGTCATCCCCAAAGCTTGGCCCTCAGTGTGTTTTCAAGGATCATCCAAATTGCAGCTTAGTTCTTTTCACTCCTCTTGGTGCTGAGTAATATTTCATCACATGCACAGACCTCAGTTTGCTTGTCTAGTCACCCCTTAAGGAGACAATAACTTTTAAAAGTAGACTTTATTAGTTAGGGTCACAGAAAAATTGAGTGGAAAGCACAGATTTCCCATATGCCTCCTATCTGCCCACAGCCTCCCCCACAATCAATGTCCTCCACCAGAGTTGCCTGTTTGTTGGCATCATTGAACACTGATGCCTGGTGCAGTGGCACACACCTGTAATTCCAGCACTGAGTGAGGGAGGCTGAGGCAGGAGGATCAGTGCAAGTTCGAGGCTAGCCTGGGCTATGTAGTGAGTTCAAGGCCACCCTGAACTACATAGCAAGACCTTGTCTCAAGAAATCAGAAAAGAGACGGGGGATGAGGTTGGCTGTGAGTAGCGCAAACCTGTAATCTCAGCACTTTGGGAGGCTGAAGGAGGAGGATCACAAGCTCGAGTCCTGCCCGGGCAACTGAGTGACTTAGCAAGACCCAAAATAAAAAAACAAAAAGTTCTGGGGATGTAGCTGAGTGTGAAGGCCCTGGGTTTGATCCCCAGTACAGAAAAAAGAAAGAGAGAGAGAGAAAGACATTATATCACCAGAGCACATAGTTAGCATGAGGGTCACTGTTACGGCTGTGTCTAGATGCCCCCCAAAGCCTCATGCAGTCATAGGTGGGGCTTTTTCAGAGGTGCCTGGATCTGGGGTGTGTGATTGATTCATGGTGCAATGCTAAGATTAAGGGTGGGTGATTACTAAATTGGTCCACTGATTGGTTTGGTACCGCCCTATTTCTAGTAGCTTGGATACAATATAAGGGACAGAAAGAGGCTTGTCTTGTCCCTTGCTTGCTTTGCTACCTTCTGCCAACCATGCCATTGACTATTTCTCCTCTGTGCTGCCCCACTGCGATGCCACCCTGCCTTGGAGCCAGCCAATTATGGACTGAGACCTCTGCAAACTCTGAGCCAAATAAACCTTTCCTCCTTTAACTTTGGGTGTCGGGTATTTTGTCTCAGCAATGAAACAAAAGTAACTAAGAGTCACTCTTCAGATCTGGACAAATGTACAATGACACACTCCTACCTTTACGGTATCATATAGCATAGTTTCACTGCCCTAAAACTACTCTGTGTGCTAGGGGTGTTAACTTTTTTGTGTGTGTGCCGGGGATCGAACTTGGATCCTTGCACTTGTGCAGCAGGCGGCGAAACCACTGAGCTAAATCTCTGGCCCAAGGTGTGTTAACTTTTAAGGGACAGACAGGAGAGGGGTCAGGAAGGAGATGGTGAAGAACCAGGCAAGGAGGAGGTCACAGGAGGAGAGGCTCCCTGTCTAGGACACCCCCATTTACACCAGCAGCCCTGGTCTACTTCACTGTCAAAGGCAGCCAGTTGGAGGGTTCACTGCATGCTCCCCTGTGCTTCTTCCAGGAGAAGTTGGATATGATGAGAACTGAGCAGTATGCATCAGATCTGCCCACTAAGGACTCTTGTAGGAATGATTTAGGGCAGGTGGGGGTGTGTTCATCTATTTTCCATTGCTATAATGAAATACTTGAGGCTGGATATTTTATAAAGAAAAGAGGTTTAGTTAGCTTATGGTTTTAGAGAGTAAAAGTCCAAGATTGGGTAGGCCCATGTGTTTGGCCTCTGGTGAGGACCTCTCAGCAGCTGTATCACATTATGGCAGGAGTGGGAGTGAGAGAAGAGATCACAGGGCAAGAGAGAGGTTAGGGAGAAGCCAGGCAAGCTCTTTTTTTTCCCCTGCTCCCTTGAGTCCTGGAGGTGGAACCCAGACTTCACACATCCTAGGCAGATGCCCCACTACTGAACTATATCTCCAGCCCTTTTTATTTTTATTTTTATTATTTTATTTTGAGACAGGGTCTCACTATGTAGTTCAGGCTGGCCTTGAACTCACTAAGTAGTCCAGGCTGGCCTCAAACTTGCGGTGGCCCTCCTGCCTTAGCTTCCTGGGCACCAGCATGTCTGGCACAGCCCTTTTTAAAATTTTTATTTTGTTTGATTTTTTTGGTACCAGGGATCGAACTTGGGACCTTACGCTTGCAAGGCAGGCGCCAGAACCATGGAGCTAAATCCCCGGCCCTAAAATGTTTATTTTGAACAGGGTCTTGTCAACTTGCCCAGGCTGGCCTTGAACTTGTGATTCTCCTGCCTCATTCTTCCAAGTGGCTGGGATTACAGGTGTCTGCCACTATGCCCTGCTGTTTTGTAACAACTCACAGTGACCTAATTACTTCCCACTTAAACCCACCCTCAAAGGTTCCACATCACCTCCCAACGCATGGCCCTGGGGTACACCCTGTAATCATATTCAAGCCGTGGCAGGAGGACAGCCTCCTGGTCACAGGCTGCGGCTGGGTGAGGGGTCGAGGAAGAACAAAGAGCTTGGGCATCTTGGGGCTCCCTCCAGGAAGGATGTCTTCTCTCACCCCTGAGCCCAGCAGAGCCTTAGCCATCTGTGGCTGGGTGTGGTGGTGCACATCTGTAATCCCAGCACTCTGGGAGGCTGAGGCAGGTTGGAGCCCAGCTTGGGCAAGACCCTGTCCCAAGATTTTAAAAAATACAAAAGGAACAGGGAAAATAGCTTGGTGCAGAGGCCCTGGGTTCAATCTCCAGGAGCACAAAACAAAACAAAACAAAAGCAAAACCCTTCTAAGCAGCCAGGGGCAGGTGGAGCAGGCAGGAGAGACGAACACCATCAGTAGGAAGGGATGGCATCCCCTGGGGAAGGCTGTAAACTGGATCTGCACGTTTCTGTAATTTTGTTTCTTTCCACGAATCCTTTCTGGGGTCCACATTGTCCCACACCTCTCCCCTGGCTGGGCCCTTTGGGGTACCCTCGGGTAACTTGCAGCAGCTCAGTGGGGTAGCTCCTGGTCTGGCGCACCCTTGACCTCTAGTGGTAGGAATTTGCCTGGGCTACAAAGGTTTGGATCCCTGCACTGTGAGCCTGGTGGGCTGTGGGATCTACGGCGGCTCAGGGGCTGTGTGAAAACAGTGCAAAGTCACGGCCAGAAGGCTGCATGCGGAATGGGAGTGTGGAGCAGTGGCTCTCAGCCCTGGCTGAGCTGTTGGTCACCAGGGGCTTTTCAGTTCCAGAACTCCAACATCAGAATATCTGGGGGCCGGGGATTTAGCTCAGTGGTTTCGCTGCCTGCTGTGCAAGTGCAAGGACCCGAGTTCGATCCCCGGTACCAAAAAAAAAAGAATGTCTGGGAAGGGTGCCAGAGATCCCAGGTGAGTCGCATGTGCAGCCAGGAGTGAGAACCCTGCTTTGGATAGGGAGAGTTGGATGGGCCACAGTAATGTGGGTTCAGCCAGTTATGGACACACACAACAGCTGCTACCTTACAGGGCGCACATCCTCCCCTGACCACAGTGTGGCAAGCTCTTCTTCCTGGCTCCCTTGCCCCCTGGTCCCTGGTCTGTGCCACCCACGCCTTTCCTCAGACCTCCTAAACAGGGTCACCAGATTAAACACAGGATGCCTGGTGACGTTTGACTTTTGGATAAACAGTTGACTGTTTAGTTTAAGCATGTTCCAAATATTGTATAGACATCTACTTACCTCTTTGTTCTTTTTTTTTTTGGTACCGGGGATCGAACTCGGGTCCTTGTGCTTGCTAGGCAGGCGGTGGAACCATGGAGCTACATCCCTGGCCCTGCCTCGTTGTTCATTACTCATTTGAAGTTCAGAAGTCACTGGGTAGGGGGTAGGGATGTAGCTCAGTGGTGTTGCACCTGCCTGGCAAGTGCAAGGTCCTGAGTTCGATTCCCAGTACTGGAAAAAAAAAACCAACCACACAAACAGAAGTCTCTGGGTATCCATTCTATTTGCTGAATCTGGCACTCCCATCCAGAAAATGCCTTGCTGTTGATCAGATGAATTTGATCAGTTTCTCGTGGGAGGACCCTGCAGTGTTGGGAGGTGGTCAGGTTCTGAAATGCCTCAGGAGAGCCTCACAACATGGCTGGGACTAGAGATCAATACTGTGCTTCTTGATCTTGGGGTCTCGATGTCATTTCACTTTAGGGCACCCTGGTCTTCACACTCACCACCCCGTGGGCCTGCCTCCCTTTCCTTCTCATCGCTGATGGTGTGTTTTCTTCTGGTTGACTGCTGGAGGCCCCAGTGATCCTTTCCCCTCCCCGCCCCTCTGTTTCTCTCTCCTGCTCCACAGATGGTTTTATCCAATTTTAATATACTGCCTCATCCTGTTCTCTGAGGTTCAAGGCATTGTATTAGTCACCTTTGCGTTACTGGGACAAAACACTTGACAAACACAACTTAAAAGAGAAAAGGCTTATTTTGGCTTGTGAGTTCAGAGATTTTAGTCTACAGTCAGCTGGCTCCAAGGTAAAAACATCATGGCGGAAGGGCACGGCAGAGGAGGGCTGCTCGGCCCACGGCAACTGGAAGCAGAGGGTGAGAGCAGGGAAAGAACCAGAGACAGAGGAAGGGCACATTCCCATGATGGAATTCCTCCAGCTAGTTCCCTCCTAACAGCCATTCAGCTAATGAACTCATCAATGGGTTGATCTATTGATGAGGCCAGCAATCTCACGATCCGGTCATCTCTCTGGGTCCCACCTCTGGACACTGCCACATAAGTCTTTGGGGGACTCTTCATGTTTAAACCATAACATGTTTCCAGGCCTTGTGGGTGGTCAACGGAAAGGAATGTAGATTCAGTGGCTTTCCCTTGAGCATCGCCAAAGCGTTGTGATTGGCCACCAGGGGGTGCAACTGAGTCAGGGACTCAGGACAAAGGAGGCCTCTCTGGGAGTGCTAGAGTGTGGAGGTGGGGCTGCCCAGCTGAGGTCGTGATGTGTTCCCCCTACCAGGTTCAAAGGTGAAGCCCGAGGGGTCTTTCTGGTCAACCTTGAGAAGTCTGTTGATGGTCCCCAGCAGGAGAAAGATGGGAAGCAGCCAGGAAGTAGGTGCTTGAGGCAGCATAGTGAGCCCCTTGGGTTCTGATGGGCCTCACACGGCAGAGAGGGGCCCTGGGAGAAGGGAACCCCAATGATAAAGAGAAGACTGCATGTGGTAGAGGTGTCTGGGCTGGCCTTGGGTCTCCCCAAGGTCAGGGCTAAGTATGTGCCACGCAAAGCAGCCACTGCAGTCCCTCCCGAGGCCAGGTGAGAGCAGGCACACCTTCTGCAGTGAGGCAGCAGGAATGCACCTGAGGGCCAGGACTTTGTTCGGGGATTTCAGGAGCCTAGGATGGGCAGGTGTGGAGATGGTAGGATATAGCTCAGTGGCACCGCACCTGCCTGGCAAGCGCAAGGTCCTGAGTTCCATCTCCAGTATCCAAAACAAAAACCAAAACAAAACAAAACAACAAAAGCCATAATGCGTGAATCAGCAGCTTCAGGAGTTTCTGCCAGCTCCCCCACATATGCTTTCAACTGAGGAACTGAACATGGCCTTCCCAGCATCCCAGAGCCCCCGGGCAGCTGCTGACCTGGTCCTGACAGGCTCGGCAGAGCTCAGCGTCTCACAGTCCCACTCTTGTTCCCTGGCTCCTCTCAGTGTTGTGCTAGCATCACCCAAGGCGTTGCATTTCATGTGGTTTGTTCAGCAGGACCACACGCTACTCTGTGCATATTCCACTGTCTTCATGGGATGGTCAGTATTTAGGTGGTTTCCAGTTCGGAAACCATGAAAAGTGTAGGTGGAAACCTCCCTGCTCTTTGAGGTTTGGTTTTGGACCTGAAGGAGTGGGATGGAGCCTGCTCCCTCCTCTTGAAAGTGGGGTTCATGCTCCCCTGACAGGACTGTCATGTGTATTGTGAAAGCTGCTTACTCAGGGCTCAGCATGAAGCAAGGGGCAGAAATGGCAACAGGGCACGCAGGTCACCTGGACGGGGGGAGCTCTGGGACGTGGGCAAGCTGGCCTCTGATAGGCAGCAGGTGAGGTGGTGGTGCCCAGCTGGTTGAGTAGTCCCTGTGCATCCACTGTGCCAGCACTGAGCAGAACAGGGACAGGGCCTGAGCCGCTAAGCCCTACTGGTAAACTGAACTGCAGGAGGCGGGGCTGGAGGATTAGAAAGCTCTGAGAATGCCAGCGGCACCTGCCACAACCTCCTTGAAGCCTGGAATCTGGGTTCCCTGGTTGCTGCATCTGTGGATGGGCTCCCAGGAACACTGGCTCTGTGGAGGGGACACTGAGGCCCCACTCCAAAGTCCTGGTAAGTGACCTCCGCTCCTGGCTCTCAGCTACGGGCTTTCTGAGAGTCTTTGAAGACAGAGGGAGGGAGGGGTGACCTGGGAGGGATGAACTGTGAAGACCTGGGAAGCTGCAGGGTGTCAGGGCCGAGGAGGTGCCCATATGGGCTCATCCTGTGAGCCGAGGGAGGGGCAGGCAGCGTTTATGTGCCCTCCATGCTTCTTCCACCGCCCCCCGACTCCCTCTAACTCTATCCCCCATCTTGTGTGAACATGGCTCAGTCTCAAGCCCTCTAGACTCCTGAAGGGCCCACTTTCATTGTCTTTCTTTTGCTGTACTGGAGATTGAACCCAGGACTTTACACTAAGCTCAGTCACAGCCCTTTCAAAATTTTTTTGTTTTTTTGCTACTGGGGATCGAACTCAGATCCTTGCACTTGCACAGCAGGCGGCGAAACCACTGAGCTAAATCCTTGGCCTTTCAAAAATTTTTTATTAAGACATGTTTGCTATGTTGTACGGGCTGGCCTTGAACTTGTGATCCTCTTGGCTCAGTTTCCAGGGCTCTGGGATTACAGGCGTGTATTACCACATCCAGCTATTAGGGCCCACTTTGATTAAGGGGCTTTCCCAGGCCTGAGGACTAAGGCTGCCTAAAAAGCTCCAAGTCATACTATCTTGCACCCAAAGGACCGTAAGTCTCTCCCTGGACAGGTAAGACAAGCCCCTCGAACCGCAATGTGGGAGGCCCAGGCACCTGCCCACCCTGCAGTTGCAGCAGAAGGGGTCACAGAGGCTCAGAGCATGTCTCAGGCTCCATCAAGCCCTGTCCTTCTCTTCCACCACCTCCTGACGCTCAGGAAGGCAGAGATCAAGTCCAGAGGTCTGGAGGGGCCACTCAGCATCCTGACCCCGAGAGCAAGTGGGGAGAGACAGCAGCCATGTCTGGGGTCCCTGGAAGCTGACCTGGAGAAAGAGCCCATCTCTTTAGGGGTTGACCCCACCCTGGTGCCGGATGCACTGCCTCTGCCTCTCCTCCCTGGAGATGGCTCAGACCCAACCCTCGAATGTGTCCCGCAGGTGACAAGGCCTTCAGAAGCTGGGACACCACGGGGAGGCACCAGCAGCCAGGATGTCCATGCAGAGCATCCTCTCCCTGAAACCTGAGACCCTGAGCCTGCCACCTGGGATCTCAGAGTCCCCAAGCTGCCAGCGGCGCCACACGCTCCCTGCCAGTGAGTTTCGCTGCCTCACCCCGGAGGATGCGGTCAGCATGTTCGAGATTGAGCGTGAAGGTGAGCAGCTCCGCTCAGGCTGGTGTGTGAAGCCAGCCCAGGAGTCTTCTAGAGTCTCCTGCCCTTCAGAGCTGGGTGTAAACTGAAGGATCAGATCATGTGTGCACTGAAGAAAGTGGGGGACACAACCTGAGAGTCACCTGTCTTCCTGTGGTGGGTGCATCTGAGTGGCCACTCGCTGTGCAGTGCCCACTGAGCGCCCGTCACCTCCCGCCCCAGCCTTTATCTCTGTCTCGGGGGCCTGTCCCCTGGACCTGGCTGAGATCCGGCACTTCCTGACTCTGTGTCCTGAGCTGTCCCTGGGGTGGTTCGAGGAGGGGAACCTTGTGGCCTTCGTCATTGGCTCCCTTTGGGACAAGGAGAGACTCACTCAGGTGAGGATGGGGGCCATGATGCCCAGCTCCTGGGAAGCTTCTGGAAGACGCCTGGGCAGGCACTGGGCAGACAGTGGGCAGGGAGCTCCGGGACTGGGGCTTCTTCCAGATCCAGAGATGAGCACAGGCCACAGACCCCTCCCAGGGGAAGTGTCCAGCCCTGCCCTTGGGGTCTTGAACAACTTCCGGTTTCCTCCATGGAAAGGAGGCATAGCTCCCAACTCGGGGTCCTCCTTAGGTGGGAAGGGATCCCCTTAAGAAGCACTGCCCTTGGCCTGGGTTGGGTGGCTTGGGGGGAGCGAGTGCCACAGAGGTGACCTGGACTCCCGTGCCCTGCTCACCCCAGGAGTCGCTGACGCTGCACAGGCCCGGGGGCCGTGTGGCCCACCTGCATGTGCTGGCTGTGCACCGTACCTTCCGGCAGCAGGGCAAGGGCTCCGTCCTGCTGTGGCGCTACCTGCAGCACCTGGGCAGCCTGTGGGCGGTGCGGCGGGCCGTGCTCATGTGCGAGCATGCACTGGTGCCCTTCTACGAGAAGTCTGGCTTCCAGGCTGTGGGCCCGTGTGCCGTCACCGTGGGCTCCCTTGCCTTCACAGAGCTCCGGTGCTCGCTGCGCAGCCACAGCTTCCTTCGCAGGAACAGCGGCTGCTGAGCTGGGATCCTCAGGGCCTCGGGAGGTGGGGAGACAGGCTGGGGCTCCCATCCGGCCTCCTCGTCTCCTTCTCTGCCCACCCCAGCCTGGCTGAGCTGGAGAGCCGACAGCGATTCCCAGCCAGAGTAGTCAACAGAGAGGAGAGGGGGTGGCTTCGCCCGGTCCAGGCTGTTCAGATGGCAGGAATGCCGCGTCCTCTGTCCTCACAAGGTCCCCTGGGCCTCCTGCCCTCCAAACTCTGTGCCCAAGACCAGAGTGGGTTGGTAAATGGGGATGGTGGGAGGGGTTTTCAGGTCCCTCCTGTATTTCCTGCCTCATCCTGATTCTTGGGGGCCTCACCGTCACCCCTTCTCGGCCTTGGCCCCTCGCACCGGGGAGAGCCAGGAGCAGGATGGGGAGAGGCCAGGGGCCTGGCTGATGGGTGGCCCCGGGGCAGGGAAGTGCATATGAGGGGCCCTCCCTCCTCCTGCTGGGATCCCCCGTGTGCCCCACCCACCCCTCTTCCCTCCTGGCCATCCCACTGTCCCACATGGACTCCTCTGCCCCAGAATAAAGCAGTCATGTCCCAGTGCCTCCTGGGTGACTTGCTGGTGTGCTGTGTGGCTCAGGGTGAGGCACAGGCGTGGTGAAGGGACTCGTCCCTGGCTGTAGTGGCAGGGCCTCACCTTCTCCTGCTACAGCGTCTCAGGCAAGGCAAGCCAGCAGCATCCTCACTGCGAAGGTGGAGCAGGTTGGGGCAGGGCCCTGGGAGTTTAAGGATGCCGTTCAGTCCTTACAGGAGACCTGCCAAGGTCTTCCCTCTGGCTCCAAGATGGTTTCTGGTCCAACTAAATCCCAAAAAATCCCACAAGTTTTTTGCTGTCCCTTGATTTAAGCCACTGCCTCTGAGCTGATGGCCTCAGCCCCAAAAGTTCCAGCCTTCACTGCACTGGTGGTCTCAGTTCAAAGAGAGTATTTCCACAAAGAATATCATTTAATACACTTGAGAAATCATCCATACAAAGTTAGCGTCACTTTTTAAAATTAGGACCCTAATATAAACTAGTCAAAAACAAAACGAAAAACAAAACCCTGACCCAAGCACAACTGAACCTCGGGCACCCCTGGGAGCAGGTCCCCAGCTCTGTCCCCTTCACTGGGGCAGAAGTGAGGCAGAGGTGGCGGCGGCGCCCACCTGGCATCAGACAGAACACGGGCGCCAGAGGGAGGAGTGAGGGGGGCTGGATCCAGCCTCTGTTGCTCAAAACAAGCAAAGGCTCCTGGTGTCCCTGTCCCTGTCTGCGCGTCGCCTTGCTTCGTCTGTCCGTACCATGGCCACAGCTCCTCCCAGATGCCGTCTGGAGCCTAAGGGGAGGCTCATGAGGCCTCAGATGAAGCAGGTGCACTCACGGGGGAGGCAGGAGAGGAGAAGCAGGAAGGGGACCGTGGTGGGGACCCTGGTCCTGGGGAAAGAGGGAGCGGCTCCGTGTCTGGCAAGGGCTTGCTCACAGTGACCGTGGGGAGAAGCACCAGCAGATGCAGAAGCCCCGGCCCTGGGAAGAAAGGAAACTGTCCCCAGAGGGGATCCTGCGAGAGGGGTCCCTATGAGGAGTCCTGGAACCAGACCCTCGGAGAAGCAGGGGTCCTCGTTGTCCCCAAGCCGGGCCAGGAACACCCAGGCCTGAGAAGGAGGGGCCCGCGCCCTGGGAACTGCCTTTACTGGCTGGCTCGCTCGGAATCAGCCTCGCCGCGTTGCGTTGGGTGAGTGCCTGGGCCTGGGGCCAGTGCCAGGGTCTCTGCTACGCACAGCAGCGCACGGTAGGCACGGTCCCTGCGACATCGGGGGTCAGTGCAGCACCTGGTCCAGCTCGTACTTCTCGCAGAAGTGGCTGGTGAAGGGAAAGCAGGTGAGGTACTCAATCCAGGGCCAGTTGATGGGGTAGATATAGAGCCAGAGGACCAGGGAGGCAAAGAGGCCGGCGAAGACCAGCAGCGACACCAGGATGAGCGCACGCTTGCGGTACTTGTCGCTGGTACCGAAGGTGATGTAAGGCAGGAAGGCGAAGGCCAGCAGCATGCCGCTAAGGAAGCCGAAGATGTGGGCGATGTTGTCGATCCAGGGCAAGAGGCCGCAGACGAACAGGAAGAGCACAATGGCTGACAGGTTGAAAAAGGCCTTCCAGGGCCGCTCCAGCAGCTGCCAGCTCTGGAAGAGCTCCACGAAGAGGCAGGCAAGGAGGCCAAACTGTGACCCAGCCGGGCCCACCTGGGATAGAGGAGGGGCGATTTGCTGCCTTGGGGTGCCAGGTACCAGGCTGGATGAACAGCACCAAGGCCTAGCTCCTGGCAGGGGCCTGGGCACAGCTGGAGCGGCCAGAGCAGGGCTGGGCTACTCCACCCTTCCTTTCAGCACACAGTGAGCACCTGCTGCATTCCTGCCCAGTGTGGCACTGTGCAATCAGCAGGACAACAAGCCGGCTCTGGGTGGGTGGCTACAGTGGGAGGGGCCAGAACAGAATAAGCAAGAGTGAGGTTGAACGGGCAGAAAGGCTGTTGAGTCTGTAGGCCAAGGAAAGCCACAGGGCTCACGCCACAGATGCTCCCTCTGCTGTCAGGAAGCGCCATGGTTAGAAGCAGAAATGAAGCAGTGAAGGGGGACAGGGAAGCTCTTGCTGGAGGTAACCAGTGAGCAGAGCAGGGCTTCGTATGCCTGGCGATTCAAGATCACCACTGTCCCCTTTTGCCAGGGATTAAGGGACCACCAATGAGCCCTGGCTTAGCTGTCCACCCACCATTGAGCGCACACAGGAGGGGTCCCATGTTCCTCTAGAACATCCCAAGTGGGTGGGATGGGGGTAGAAGCCTGGCCCTCCCCACATGCCACAAAGCATTGGGCTGGAGTGGGGGGCACTTCGTCCCCCCTCCACGCCCTTGTTCCGCAAGTCCCTACCTCTGCCCGGTAAGGGAGGAAGATGGCGCTGGCAAGGTTGCCCGTGATGCCGCTGAGGACGAAGATGATAGCAATGCGGTGCCAGCCAGCCAGCTTCTCCAGGTCACGCAGGATGGTCATTTGGAAGATCACAGACACAAGGCAGTGCACCAAGCTGGGGGCCGGGCACACCGGGCATGGTCAGCACTTCAGGAGCAGTGGGGTCAGGCAGGTTGGGGTCCAGGTGGTGGCACCACAGGTCCAGGTTGGGGGCAGTGAGGACCCTCTTACCCAGCGTGGAGGAAGAGAGACAGCCAGAGCCTGTAGAACTGGTCTGGGATCTCAGGGTTGAGGAAGGGCAGCAGCCCGCACACTTGGTCCAAGCAGTGCACCTGGGGGTGTGGGTAGCACGTGTGGTCAGCGCTGGCTGAGTCCAGGGATGCAACGTGGGAACACGAGACCCCTGTAGGCCTCAGTGCCCAGAGTGACAGCCCCTGCCCTGACCCCTCCAGGGCCTCACCCACCTGGGAACAGAGCGTCGCCTCTTCATGGAAATAGCCATGCATGAACTCACAGTACTCCCGAGTGGTAATCTCACAGCTGGGGCACAGGAAGGAAAGGGGCAGCATCAGGGTCCTGGGGAAGCCCTGCCCCTGGTCACAGCAGGCCCAGGAAAGCTCCCTTTCCTCCTGCTCACACCATGGTTGGCCCTAGGCAGGGAGCGGAGGGACAGTTACAGGAGGACAGCAGCCTGGGGGTGGTAGTGCCAGGCCAGCTCACCTGCCCTTGGTGCCAATGCAGCAGGGGCGACCCTTGATCATGCAGTCTATGTGCAAGAAGCCTGTGTGGTTGCTCCTGGCCTGTTCTGTGCAGATCTGCAGAGGGGATACACAGGGGTGGCTAAGCGACAGAAGCCATCCATCCCCACCCTTCCCAGGCCACTTTCCGCCCAGGGTGCTCACTCACAGGCACTCACTCACCGGCCACTTGGTGATGTCGTCGGGCCAGATGTGGGCACCACTGGAGGCTGGCTCCTCACAGGTCCTGGAGGCAGAGATCAGACTGAGTAGGGTGAGGGGCTGGGGCACCCCTGCCTGCCATGCCCATCCACAGCATCCAACTGGCCACTGAGGCAGCCTGGCCGTGGGCTGCTCTGGATGCATGGGCGGCTCTCGGCTGTACCTGGGGTCCTGGTTGCACACAGCCCCCGACGTCCGCCTCTGGCCGAGATCAGACTTGTCCATGGGGGGCCCAGTATCATCCTGCCACTTGACAAAAGTGGCCAAAGTCTCCTGGAGGGTGAACAAGGTCTGGTCACGCCAGGGCAAGGTCACAGCATCAGTGCAGACGAAGCCTCCAGGACAGGGGCTTCTCCCAGATGCCTACCGAGGCCTGACCCTTCCGAGGCCCAGCCCTGGCCTCTTGGGCAGGGCCTGAGAACCGAGCTGGGGAGCAGCAGGGACCGTTCGGCGGCAGTCTCTGCGCTGGGCTGAGGACCTGGGGTGCGTGGGGGACTGCGGGGCTAGGGGATGCAGGGGACATGGTCACAGCCCTTAAAGGACCCTCCCCAGGCCGTGGCAGGGGGAGCAGGGAGGGACCAGTGCGGGGTGGCAGGGATCGGGGCCCACCGAGCAGTCCTTCCTCTGGGTCTGGATGCAACCCGAGCGGTCATTCTGGACACAGCAGCCTGAGTCGCGCTCTAGGTCCCACTCCCGCCGCACTAGCTGCTCGATCTGCTGGTCCTTCCGGATGCAGGGGGAGAATTTGGCCCCCAAGTGAATCAGGTCCATCTGGGAGTGGGGCAGGAGTTGGTGAGCCTGGGCTCAGACTGGCGGGGCCACCACTCCGCCTCTCCTCGGTCAAGTTTCCCGATGAGGGGCTGGGTAGATAGCCGCCCACCTGCCCGGCAGGTGTGACAGGACAGGGGCTCCCCACTCTGATGGCACCCCCGGGCTGGGCCTCACCGAGCTGGGGCCGACCCAGAAGTTCTCCTGCTGGATGAACTTCACGCTCTCGTACACACCTTTGTTCCTCAGCACCTGTTGCGGAGGTGGCATCAGAAGGCTGAGCCCAGAGCCAGGAAGGGGAGAGGGGCGGGATAGTCCCCAGTCCCTCCAGGAAGGGCGCAGGCCATGGTGAGCCTGAGCACCTCCTGCTCAGGCCTGGCGCTGGGGGCAGAGATTTGGCACCCACTGTGCTGAAGCATCAAGGAGAGGCTGGGGCCCGGGAGAAGGCTGAAACCCCGCCTCACCAGCTGGGTGGTGACGTGCTGGGCAAAGCCCACGGGTGCGATGCCATACGTGCAGATCACCAGCAGCGTGATGATGATGTGGACGAAGGTCAGCCAGTAGGTGAAGTAGGGCCTGGGGACAGAGGCTAGGCTCAGCCCAGCCACAAGGCTGCCCTGGGTTCTGCTTCTACTCTTCCCAACTCATCCTTCCCCAGAGCAACTTTCAGATGCTCTGCAATCTCTCAGCTCAGAACCCTTGATGGCTTCCCAATGCCCTGAGGTTGAAGTTCAAAATCACCCTGTGCTGCACACAGACTGCACAGCCTCCACCCACTTCTGCTGCCTTTCCTCTTCTTTTCTTGTAGTTTCTGAAGCCCCAGGACCTTTGCACCTGTTGCCTGAGAGGCCCTGCCCATTTCTTTTCACCCATCTTATCTTGACAGCAACTCTCCCAGTGAGCTCTGCACCCCTACTCTGTCCATCTGTCCAGGATGCCCACTATACTTATTCTCGTTCGTTACTTGGAATTTGAGGTTCAGTGTCTATCACGTCACACTGCCAATCATACACTGAGAATCACCTTCCCTGGTCTCTGGTTTCCCTCAAGGTCACTGTGCACAGCCTCCCCCAGCAGCCCTCACAGCCCAGCTTCCATCTGCCCCATGGATCTGCCCTGCCCCACGGATCTGCCCTGCTCCACATTCCCTTCTCTTGGGGCTGCAGCATCTGTGTGCGGTGATGCTCAGTGATCTGACTGCTATCTGGGCACCGGGCTGAGGATCTGGGTGCAAAAGCAGGAGCTGGAGGAGAGGCAGTGAGACTCCGGGGCTCCCCCAGACACAGGCACCCCAGCTGCGGTCAGTCCCGACCCACAGGAGAGGCTCCTCTAGCGCTTGCTAGCCATGGGGGTACAGGCTTTGCAAGGGGCCAGGAGGACTGGGAAGCACTCAGGCCCCGGCGGCTCCCGGTCAGTCTTGGGATGGGGACGGGGCTGGAGCTCACCGGTGGCTGTCGAAGCTCTCCAGCTGCCGCTGCACCGTGCTGCTGATGCTGCGGCGGTAGCTGCGGTTGAGCCAGTTGCCCACCACACCCAGGCCGTAGTGCCGCTTCTTCCTGTCGAAGGCAAAGTGCTTCACGGTGGAGGCAATGCGCTTGCCGCGCCGGGTCACTGGGATGGGGGTGTGGCCACACTCCTTCCTGGTGGGGACAGCAGCTCTCAGCCCGATGTCCCCTCGTCTCCCAGACGCCCACCGCACGGCTCAGAGGGGCTGGGGGGCCGGTCAGGTCTGGGAAGGCCACAGGCTGGGTGGCTGGGATGCAGGATCCCACACTCACAGAGGGATGTGCACCCCGTCGGGGGAGGCTGAGGAGGCTGAAAGTGGCATCGCTCGGAAATAGCTGGCAGAGAGTGGGGGAGACTCAAACACATCATCGGGCATGGAGCTCATTTCTTCCTGGGGTGGAGGACACAGACGGTGGTACAAGGAGTTACCGTCCCAAATGGTGCCCCCAACACCCCAAATCGGGAAGATAGGGTGGACAGACAGGCTCTTTAGGATGGAAGGAGAAGCCACATGCCTGTCAGCCTTGACGGTCACTTCCCCTATGGCCACTGTCCCCACCCAGTCCTTGCTCCGCCTGACAGAAAGCAGGGCCCCAGCCTGGCAGCCCCATGCAGGACACAGCCTGTCCCACCAATGGGACCAGGCCTTTGGGTCTTTCAGGGCCCCCACAGGATACGATCAAGGCCAAGGTTGCCCCTCCCAGCTCCCAGGCTACCCCATCCCCTGTCCTCCAAGGGCCCACACCCCATGCTTGCCTTACTAAAAAAGGAGGAGTCAAAGGTGTCTGCCCCATCGACTGCATCCTCCTCCAGGAAGCTGGGGTAGGCAAAGCTGCGTTTGATCACCTGGCACCGTTGTCCAGTAGCGTCCAGCACTGAGCGCCCCTGCACATGAGGCAGAGGCCCGGGCATCAGGACTGGGGCACGGGAGCCCAGGTCCCCAGTCCCTCAGCACCAAAGGACTTGCCAGGCTGCCCTGGAGCAGCATTTGGGAGTGGGTTCCTGCCCATGCAAGGTGCACAGGGGAGGGGTACAGGCCAAAGCAGCCCTTGAGGGAGGAAGGCTAGGATGCCCATCGGCCCTGATTTCCCTGCTCTCCGTGGTTTGGAGTCAGCTCCTCCCTGGCAACCTCCTGCCCCTCTGGCATGAACAGCTGACACCCTAACACCCTGTGCTCCCCCATTTCTGTTTCTTGGCCTGGTACACCAGGCCCCTGCTCACCTGTCTGATCCCATATCTCCAGCCATACTTTTCATAGTCATCCTTGCTAAAACCACATCAAACTGCTCCCCCAAGCACCATGCTCCTGGAAGGGCCACAAGGCCTTTGCCTAAGCCATTCCCATAGCTGAGGGTGCTGTTCCCCCCTTCCTTTCCTGAGTTCGTGCCTTCTCTGACACTAGCCTCTCCCAAACTGACCACCAAGCAGTGACACTGCCCCGCCTGGGCGCCTCCTCTGCCCAGCATGTCACAGGCTCATTAACACAGTCAGGGGAGTGGCAGGCATGCCTCTCACTTCCTACTTCCTTGGCTTATGCGTCAGTGCAGATTGGCTTCCAAAACAGGACAGGCAGTGGGGGGCTCACGTGAGAACTGGGGCACCCCCTCTCTCCAGAGTCCCAGGACACCCACTGGTGTGAGAAGGCAGGCACCTGAGTGAGCTGCAGGGTGGGAGGAAGGTAGGTGCGGGCCCTGCCCACAGGAGGGGTTCCCACCTTGAGGAGGGCGGCCGCAGCCTGGAAGCTCATGTGGGCCACGGATATCCTCTTTCGGTGGGGCAGGTAGCCAGAGCGGATGCTGGTGAAGGAGGTGAGGGACAGGACCCCGGGAGTCAGCGGCGGGTGGGGGGCGTGGGGCCGGTCTACCTCGTCTGGATGGCGGAAGGCCCGGCCCCGGGCCAGCGGATCCACAATCTGGAGCAGACAAAGGGTGAGCAGGGCTGACCAGCCCTGGGGCGGGGGTGGGGGCAGGGAGAGCCACCCAGCCGCCCCCACCCATGGAGCCCACCTTGGGCATCTTGCAGGGTTTTGGAGACTCGGTGCCCTGGAAGGACAGCCCCTCCTGGCTGGGCAGCTCCAGGTCCCTCTGGCATGCGGCCTTGAGCCGGCCATAGCGCACGCTGCAGTGGTGCAGGCTGCGGCGCTGCCAGTGCTGCCGCTTGCCCTCCCAGTCGCCGCTGACCCCGAACCACTGGGCCGTGCCCCTGTGGAGCAGACCGGTGGGTGGGCGGTGTACACGCACACAGCACACACCCCCAGGGGGCAGAGCGCGTGTGAGGCGACCGTGAGTGTGCAAGGGAGGCGAGGGGACGGGGCACGTGTATGTGGTGGCGCTGGGTGACCGCCTCGCCACACACTCGCGTCCATGCGCCTTCTGGGGAGGTGGGGATCAGCTTTCCTTGAGCTCCTGACTGGAGCCCTCTGACCAACGGCCGAGCGAAGGCTGGAGCATGAGGAGCAGGGCTGGGAAGAGGTCCCCCCAGCTTCTTGGACCTTCTCGGCCTCCACATGGTGGCTTTCTGCAAGGCACGCCCCTCTAGGCCTCAGTTTCCCCATCTGCAGCATAACATGACACTCTCACTAATGCGACAGCCACTGCCTGCTATTGCCTCTCACTCCTTCTGGAAGGGACATGGGGATGGGCTCAGCAAATGTCCAGGTGCCCAGAATCTACGGGTTGCCGGGATGGCTGGGCAGGGCAGGCACTCACTTGCGGATGCTCTGGGACAGGGAGGCCTGGCGGCGGAAGCCAGGCCGCTTCTCTGTACCATCTTGCCATCGTCCCTGCGGCTCCTGGAGGCTGACGCTTTTCATGTAGGTAGGGTTCTTGGGCCTCTGCAGGAAGGACAGGTGGTAATGTATGCAGCCTCCCGCCGGGAAAGCCCTGAGAACAAGCTCAGCCCCGCTCAGCACCCACCCCAGCTGCTTCTGTGGGGAATTAGTTCATTAACTCTTTTGCTTGTTTTTGTAGTGCTGAGGATGGACCCTGGGGCTCGCACATGCTCGGCAAGCCCTCTACCGAGCCACACTCACAGCCCTCATTGTGCATTTAAAATCCCTGTGTTCTCCTGTCTCCCAGCAAAGCCCAGCATGCCTCCCCCTGCAGCACCTTTCCACTGGACTTTGTATATTCTACATAGCTCCTGGGGTGAGCAGGCGGCACGAACACAGCACCCCTTTATGCCCCAGCTCAGCAGGAAGCCCACGCCATTTAGGGCCTGTCCTCAATGAGCTCTTTATGGGGCGGGAGCTCATTTCCATCTTCCCAAGAAGCCAGACACTGTAGATGCAGGCTGCTGGAGCTGTGGACCCCGTGCCCCTCAGCCCTCAGAAGGGCACCGAGAGCTGGCTGGGTATCTGCATGCAAAGAGCCGGCACCCACGGGTGCCTGGGAGCCCTTTCTCAAGGACAGCGCTCTGCTGTTCCCTATACCCCATGCCCCAGGAACTTGTTGCAATATCTTATCAAGCCCAGGAAGGAGGCAGCAGACCCAGGGGCCCAGCTGCACAAAGGCGGGGCTTCAGGAAGGAGGAGCCTCTTTGGGAAGTGAAACCGGCTGAAAGGTCCCCTCCTGTGGGGACGTCTGTTCCCTTGGCAGGCTGGTGAGCCTCGTCTGGCCCCTCACCTGGGGGGTCATCCTGTCCTGCTTGCTGGGGGCCTGGGCTTCGGGTGGTGGGATGCTGATAGACAGGTTGGGCGGCTTCCGGCTCTGCAGGCGGCTGCTGGACACAGAGGAGAGACTCCCACCATTCTTGTCAGCTGAGGCCATGGTGGGCAGCAGCCTGGAACAGAGACAGGGTGGGATGCAGTGGGGTGGCAGCACCTAAGGAGCTGAGGATGCTGGTCCCAGGGGAGGCAGCCTAGGCTCAGAGCCAAACTGCCCAGGGTTGGCTTAAAGGCAGACTGCACCTGGCTGGGTGGCGCATCTATCCCCAGTCTATTTCTTTTTTTTTTTTGGTACCGGGGATCAAACTCAGGACCTTGCACTTTCGAGGCAGGCGCCAGCACCACTGAGCTAAATCCCCAGCCCCCAGTCTATTTCTGACTTTCGTTCTATACCAGTAGGGCTCAGGAGGCCTCAGATTTCCACCTCGATCCATTTTTTGGCGTCATAGCTTTAGATAAGAAACAATCCATGGAAGGAGCACAAAGATGTAGGATTTGAGCCGGAATGATCTTGGGTACCTGGTTGGGGCAGGCCAGGGCCCCAGGTTACCTTCCTGTGGTCAATGGGCCCTGACTTTGTCCCTGGGAAGGGTTTAGGGGAGGAGAACGCAAAGCCTCCAGGACAACCTGGTGGGATGAACCACTGATATGGTGCTGGTACCCTTGCTGGCCAGGTGTCTGCGGTGGCAACCAGGGGCACAGGTGCTTCTCAGAGTGGGGATTCCTGAGCTGCACAGCAGGAAGCGGCAGCTCAACCTAGTTCCCAGAGGAGACAAACTCACCATGCCAGTCCCTGCCTTACATACCAGTCCCTGCCCCTATGCCTGTCAAAAGTAAATGAAGACTTTTGACTTATGCCTAAAAAGTGACTTATGCCTATAATCCCAACTACTCCTGAGGTGGAAGATTGCCTGACCCACGAGTTCAAAGCCAAGCTGGTCAACAGAGTGAAATCCTGTCTCAGAAAAGAAAAGAAGAAAAAGATAACTGAAAATGCCTGTCTGATATTTTTCCACAGTGGCAAATACATTTTAACAACAGAATTGATATGTGCGCCTGGAAACAAAAGATCTAGAACTATAATCTAGAAAGGGATCTCTGGGCCCCTTCCTCCAGAGCTGCCCCTCTCTCTGCTCCTGGAAACTACACACACTCACACCTTCTGACCTACAGTGTGGCCCTCTTTCCCTTTCCATACAGACAGACACACTTTATCTGCTTTGAAGACAGCCAAGATTTCATTGAGTGGAATGCACTGAGATTTACTCAACACATGGGTATTTAGGATGTTTTGGGCCCAGCACTGCAGCAGACACCCCAGCCCACACTGTCAGTGGTGGAGAACCTATGGCACGCATGCCGCAATAGGCTGTTTGGAGTCACTGAAAGCTCTAAAACGTTCGCCATCACTGCCTGTATACTACAAGTTCTAGGAACGGGAAGCTGGCGTGGAGGGCAAGTGCATCTGCATTTCATCGGATCCTGTCAAATGGGCCTGGAGGGAGAAGGCAGCAACTCACTCTGACTGGGCCTCTTCCATGCTCTTCCTGCTTCCATGCCCAACTCCCAGTTCCCCTCTGCCTGTTTCCTTCTCTTCCTTACAGCCCTGTTCTGCCCTATGACCTTTATCTGGCTAAAACCCTTAGTGTTTTCTCTCCTCCACTTCCGAGGTCCTTGGCAGAGGGTTTGGTTTTTCCTCCCCTTCTACAAGGCCAGGGACCCTATACCATCTTCTGAGTGGGTGCTGGCCAGGACTCATGATCAAAAGCACGAGAGTGGTGCCAGGCGTGGTGGCGCATGCCTGTAATCCCAGTGCTGGGGAGGCAGAGGCAGGAGGATCTCTGCAAGTTGGAGGCAGCAGCCACCCAAATGCCCATTAATCGAGAGAGGGATAAACAAAATGGGCTGATCCATGTTATCCCTTTATCTGCCACAAACAGGCACGTAGCATGGACAGATGCAGGGCACATGCGTGAGCATCATGCAAGAGAAGCAGCCAGAGATCAGCTGTGATGGGAGACTGTCCACCTGCAAGTCCTGAAAAGGAAAATCTAAAGGGACGGGAGCAGACAGGGGTTGCTTGTAGTGAGAGAGAGAGAGAGAGAGAGAGAGAGAGAGAGAGAGAGAGAGAGAGAGAGAGAGTGTGTGTGTGTGTGTGTGTGCGCGCGTGTGTGTTTCTTCTTGGAGTGATGAGAATGTTCTGGCTGTGGTGACAGTTTCACAACTCTGTGACTGTACTGAAGACCACGGCATGTCACGTGTGAGACAGGTGAATGGAATGGTTTTTATGCACTGTATCTCCAAAGGGCTGTTAAAAAACAAAACCCTTGGGCCGGGGATTTAGCTCAGTGGCTTCACCCGTTGCTGCGCAAGTGCAAGGACCCGAGTTCGATTCCCAGTACCCAAAACAAAACAAAACAATAAAAAACCCTTGCCAGCTGTGGTGGTGCACACCTGTAATCATATGTCTGGGAAGCGGAGGTAGGAGGATCACCTCGAGTTTGAGGCCTGCCTGGGCTACATAGCGAGACCCTGTCTCAAAAACCAAACCGAACAACAAAAGCCTCAAACAGCTGCTCCACAGACGGTGGGGCTTGACCCATGTCAGTCAGCACCCCCATCAGGGGAGAGGGCAGCTTCTTCTGTTGCCACGGGCTGCCGCTCAGCTGCCACTGCCTCCTCACCTGCCTCAGAGCCTCTCTCTTTCTCGGTGCATTGGTCTTTTTCGTTCACTGCTGGCTTCTGCCAGGGGAGCGCTGGCCCCTCAGGTGCCATCAGCATGTATTTGTTAAAACAATCACGTGGATGAGGCTGCCCTGGGCTTGGGCCACCTGGGCCCAGCTTCTTACCTTCAGATCTGGGCTTGGCCTGAGGCTTCCTAGCCTGTGGAAAGGCGCCTAGAGCATGTTCTGGGACTCACCACCCGCGTACAGAGGCTCTGGAGTCCAGCCTCAGCTCCAGGGACTGGGGACAGGAGAGATGGCTCCACGTTAGCTTCCCTGGCACTGGTGGTCTGTAAGAAGGAAGGGTGGCTCGAGGGGGCTGCTGATCAACGAGTCCTTTCTTTTCTGTTTTTGTTTTTAGTTCTGGGCATTGAACCCAGGGCCTCTGCATTGAGCTACATCCCTAGCTCTTTTTTGAGATAGAGACTTGTGAAATTGCTAAGTTGCCCAGGCTGGGCTTGAACTTGCAATCCTCCTGCTTCAGCCTACCAGGGGGCTGAGATTACAGGTGTCTACTACCAGGCCCAGTTCATCAAGACCCCATCTCAAACAAACAAACAAAAAATAGAGTAAGGGCCCTACAAGTTGCTTGGCAGCCCCACACACCACCCAAGGCCAATGTGGGCCCCCAGGGCCCTCTGGCTCTCCACCTGTGGGTACTACTGGAGTCTGGAACCTGCCTAGAGCCAGATGTTAAAATCAAGATGAAAAAAAATTTTTAATAAGGGTTTTAAATTTTAATCAGTCCATGTTTGCAGTACATAATGATTACATTCGTCATGAGGGGCTGGTACCTGTACTTAGCACATCTTCATTACTTCCCCTTCCACTCCTTTCCCCATCTCTAGATTCCCTTCCCACTTACAAAAGATCTGTCTCGCTGTTGCCTATTACCTATGTTTGATTTTGCTCTTTAAATTATTTATACTTTGGGTTTCTCCTGTAAGAGAAACCATGCAAGACTTAAGCTCGTGTATCTGATTTATCTCACGTAACATCATGGTCTCAAGGTGCATCCATCCTTATTTTTTGTTTCAAAATTAATAGAATAAAAACATTTAATTTTAACAACCCAGGAACTGCTGGCTGTCTTCTGATTAAGGTTTCCTTTCTGTTAAAATCAGCCAGGCATTTAAGACAAGTGTTGGAACTAGCTGGATGTGTTTTGTTATTAATAATTTATTGAGGTGAAATCTACGCAACATAAAAATCAACCGTTTTAAAGCGAACAACTCAGTGGCACTTCTGTGTGTTTTTAGGAAGTCTTGTGTGAGTGATTGCCGAGGCACATGGCAGGTCCTGCTGGGAGTGGACCCCGGAGCTGCAAGGAGGCGCCCCACTGGGTGGGCAGCAGCAGTCTGCTGCGCGCCAGCAAGCCCTTATCTGTCTCTGTCCTCCAAATACCCTTCAAGGTCAAAGTCACTGCTTCCTTTTTTTCTCCTGTGGTACTGGCGACTGAATCCACGGCCTTTACACTGAGCTATATAGTACATCCCCAGTCCTTTTTATTTTTTGAGACAGGGTCTTGCTAAGTTATACACACTAGACTGGAGCTGATGATCCTCCTGCCTCAGCCTCCCAGAGTGCTGAAGGATTACAGGCCTGTGCCACCACGCCTGGCCACTGCTTCCATTTTATAGTAGGGAATGGAGGGTCAGAGAGGCTCATTAACTTGCCCAAACTCATGCAGCCAGGAAGGGCTTGTAGCTGGGACTCAAGATATCTAATTCCAGGGCTAAGGTCTCCTGGGGGGAAGGAGGGGCAGGGACTCTCCTGCAAAGCAGAAAACAGGGGCATGTGTTCAGGGTTGGAAGACCCTCCAAGGAGCCAAAGCAGAGGGTCAAGCAGGAGGGACACCGGGTTTAGCGTGCCAGTGCTTTTCAAAGAAGCCCCACAGAGGCCTGAGGCTGCCTGGAGGGGACAGAGGGACTCCCCGGGGAAAATAGAGGCCAAGGGGCAGAACAGGTCCCTTCTGATTCCACCGCGCACTTCCCCTTTAGGCTCTGCACATGGCGGGGGGGCTTTGGCTGCAGAAGTCCTCGGCCCAAGTGAGGACTGTGGGTTGAGAGCGGACTCCCAGGTGGGCTCCTGAGACAGCACCCCGGGCCCGGGCTGCTCCACCTCATCCAGGGGGCACCTACAGCCTGGGTTTTGGCCCTGCTATCCCCGAGCGCAGGGCCACTGAGCCCACACTCCTGCGAGACCACAGATCCGTGACCCTCCCTGTGGGCTGGCCGCTGGCTCCGAAGAGCTCTGGGGTCTCCAAGGACAATGCTGCTCAGGACGGCTCTGAGGCAACAGCCTCCCCTGGGGCCTCCGAGGGGCACCTTCCCCAGCACAGCCTCCTCCGGGGCCAGGGTGCGGTGGGAGGGCCTCAGGTGGGCACTGCTTTGGGAAACTGAGGAGGGAGGAGGCAGCAGAGGAAGCCAGATGGGAGGGGAGGTGGCCAGGCAGGCAGGCAGGCAGGGTCTTTCTGGAACCCTAAGGAGATCGCACTCAACCCCCTGGAGCCAGAACTTCAGACCTGCCCCGCACCCACCAGACCTCCCACCAGGCTGCTGGCAACTCCTCTGCCTGGCCACGCGCAGGGTTCCTGTAGGAGCACTACCTCCTCCAGGAAGCCTGCCTCTCCCCACCAGGCAGAAGCCACACTGACCCCTGCTGTCCCACAGCGTCCTGCAGACTTGCCTAAGCGGCGGTCCCCTGCCGGACCCCGGGCAGCACGGGGCCCGTACCCAGCCGGCCCCCTGAACAGGAAACCCATACATGGAGCTTTTTCTGTACCACTTCCTCCCAGGGCCTCTCCACCATGAAGCGGAGGGGCTGCCAAGACCACCGCGGCCCGAGGGTGTGCAGAAGAGGACGGGCTGGAAGTCCAGCCCCTTCCTGGGGCTCAGTGGGTTGCTAAGTGCCCGGGCAGAGGGGGTACTGTCAGAGCCACCCTGGGCTCTTACACGGCCCACCTCCAGGCCAAAGGCAGAGGCCCTGAAGAACAGAGTGCTGGACCGTTGGAGGGAGCACCCACTTACCACTTAGCTCCGCCCCCAGTGTGCATGCTCACCACACAGGAAATTGGGACATCTCGGGACCAGGCCTCCTCCTGCCTGCAGTCGCATCCACCGCTCTCTCCAACACCCCAGGCTGCCTTCTCGGCTGACCTGGGGTTGAGTGGGTGGGGGTGTCTGAAGGACCAGGCCGTGGGACAGCCACCTGCCCATGCTGGCTTCTAGGGAGATGCCCACCCCAGAGAAAGACCTCTAGGCTGAGCCCCAGAGGAGCTGGGAGACTCAAGGGCCCCAGATAGAGGGAGTGGGGCTGTGGGTGGGTCAGACTCCATTTCCTCTTCCTTCAGGCCGGTGTCCAGCACGGGGTGGGGGAGGGACAGATCCAGAGGAAAAGGAAAGTATTCAGATCCCCGAGGGACCACAGGTTGAAGAATCTATACCTGGGGCCAGGGGTCAACACCTGCTCTAGAGTCACAGCAGCCAGGACCAGGTGTACACAGAAATGCAGGCTCAAGAAACCACCTCTGCTGCCCAGAGAATCTGGTTTCCCCACAAAGGGTGGGGCTGGGCACTCTCAAGCAGGGCCTGTCTGGTGTAGCCAGGGTAGACAAGGCCACCATAGGGAGGTCCACCAGAAGCACCACCAGCACCCAGTAGAGGCAAGGTGCTGGAGGGCGGCCCTCCCCACAGAGCAGGTGGCATGAGCCCAAGCTCAGTGCCAGCCCGCTGTCTCCTCCCAGCCCCAGATGCAGTACCATCTCCATCCAGGAGTCTGGCTGACGCCCCTCTGTCTCTCCACCTGCCCATCACTAACATGCCCACACCGGAGGCTTCTGGAGGCTCCCCAATTCTTGCTAATGATGAATAGATTCCCCACACCCCTGGGCTCTGCAGATTTGCCCAGAAATTCAGCCAGAAATGGGGGCAGAAGGGAGCGAGGGCCCCTGGGTGAGGGAGGAAAAGGACCCCATTCAGAAGGCAGGATGTGAGCAGGAAACAGGCAGGGAGGGGCTGGTCACCTGCGGTCACCTGCCAGGCAGTGAGGAAACCACAGCCTGGCTCAGAAGTCACTTCCAGCTCTGGAGCCCTGGGGACGAGTCCACAGCGTCCCCAAAGAGTAGGCGGCGAGGAGGGAGGGGGCAGCGGAAGGCCGGTGGCAGCTGTGTGTCAGTCCTGGACAGAATCACAGGATGACACCACAAAGCTGGGGGTGCAGAAGTTGATTCTCTCCCCTGCTTCCCGGCCACAGACACCGAAACTCAACCTCCCTCCCAGGCTGCTGCTGGGAACCAGGGTGTTTTTAAAAAGCAGCCAAGAGGAAGAGGGCCCAGCAAAATGCCAGTTCTGCTGACCTCCGGGAGCTGTTTGGCCCTGCTGGCTGGCCCCGGAAGGAAGGCTCATGTAAGCACTGTCATCTAACTCTGTGTCCCCTGGCCAGCCCCCACACAGCCCATGACTCATCCCTGCACACTCCCGGCCCTGGCCAGAGGCAGTGGGATGCAGAAAGGGCAGGAAAGTGAAAAGCTGGCTTGCCTGAGGCCTGGGGACAGGACTTGGGAAGGGCAATGAGGGACAGAGAGGCACCAACAGCAGCGAGTGGCCAGGTGGGAGGCCAAGCAATGGCGGGCAGTCCCAGGAGAGGAGGGGAAGAGGAGAAGGGACCTGAGCTCCCTTCCCTTCCAGGACCCTTCCTGAGGAGAGGAGCTGGAGGCACAGACACCAACGACCCGTTCCACCTGAGCCAGGGAGCCACTCAGAAGGAGGGAAAAAAAACCGGCCCGGCCGGGGGTTCGCACCCTCAGGAACCTCACAAACAGCTGGCCCCAGCTCTCTCCTCTCCCTCCCTCTCCCAGGCTTGCCCCAAATTCAGAGCAGGTTTGGGGACTTGGTGGCCTCTGGTTTCTCTGGGCTTTTCCCCATCAGGCCCCACTCTCTTTGACCCAGTTACAGTGGTTTGGCTGTCAGAGACCACCACAGACACGGGAAGCGGGTACTGGGCCCCAGAAGCCGTCCCGAGCAGGGTGTGAGGGCCTGGCCTGCCTGTGCATGTGACAGGCCGAGGGGGACACGCTGCTCCTGGGCACCCCGTGCCCTCTGCCCCAACCTCTGGCCTTTCTCAGGACCACTCAGCAGAGGAGCTGGCAGCAATGCAAACGCTTCCTCCTCCGCTGGGGGACCCTGACCCAGGTAGTGGGCAGAGCTGGGGGTGCCTGAGTTCTGGGTCCCCAAACCCAAGATGCAGCAGCTGCTGGTAACATTCAGAACAGGCACCACAGATGTGGGGATGCAGCCAGGCCTCCCCACTGGGCACCCTCTCACTCTGGAAACCGCTGGACCCCAGGTGTTTCCAGTGTGTGTGGGGGTCTGGCCAGTGATAGCAGCTGGGCAGGGATCCGGGTCCCCTGGACAGAACTTGGGACATACTTAAGACTGACAACAGCAGTTCCCAGAGCTGGGGGTTTGACTGCAGCTCTGGGGGGCCGTGGAAAGGGAGCAGGCATGGTTGGGTCCCAGGATGCTCACCCAGCAGCCCAGTCTCCTTTGGGGGGGGGCTACTGCCTCACTTCTGTGGGCCCCTCCCTGGCAGCCACACACCAGGACACAGGAGGGCCCTGGAGAGGAAGCGGGCACACCGGGTGTCACATCAACACAGGGTTGGTGTGAACTGCGCTTTGCTCCAGTTTCCCAGATTTGCTCTTGGGCTTGGGTAAAAGTGAATTGGGTTTTCATTGGTCCTTAGAAGCAGCAGAGGCCCAGCACATGCTCAGCAGTTCGGGCAGGAGATCGGTTCAGGCCGGGTGGAAAGCAGACATGGTCTCTCTACTTTCCTTAGGGGCTCCTTGACACCAAGGTGTGACCACCCAATGCATGTAGCTGAGGCTGTCTTGGGTTTGCAAACAGATGGGCCGCCCAGTTTCCATCTCCTCTTGGTCAGACTGTAGACAGAGAAAATATAGGTCTACCCCCATTGGCTGTGTGTCCTCGGGCAACATTTCTGAGCCTCAGGTGGATTATACACCAGACACTGAGCAGCCTCCCAGCATCTCAGATCTGGCAGCTTTGTCACTGCTAACCCGGGATCACACTAAGAACATGCTCAGCTGAAGGACAGAGACCCTCCTATCTCAGAGAGTTAAGTACCCTGCCCAGTGTTACTCAGCCAGAAACAGACCCTGAGCTGGCCAGCTGGGAGCACCCAGAGCTCCAAGGAGCTGCAGGTCGCCCTGGGGCCTTATCCTCCACACACCAGGGGGACCCTGGGCATCCTCAATTCTGCTCTGTCTGCATGGAGCCCCTCCACAGGGAGGGTGCATCCCAGGCAGACACTTTTCAGCTTGTAAACAGTCATTAAGGAGCTAATAAACCTGATTTCCCAGAAACTTACCCTGGGGCTCCCCACTTCCCCTGAAAGAGGCTGGCCCTAGCCTCGGCGGCTGCCAGGGCTTGAAAGCACTTGGACATAGGCCCACCTGGGCTGTGCCCATAGCGGGTAGGCTCGAAAAGGCTCCTGTCCGCCACCTCCCCTCCCAGCTTGCTTTGGGGCAGCATTGGGTTCTCTGGTTGAGGAATGAGAAGGGGTCAGAGGCAGGGCCAAAACCTGGTTGGGCCACCTCACTGCTGGGAGACTGTGGGCACCCTGCCACTGCTGAGCCTGTTTCCTCTGCTGGGAGATGGGTGGTGCCCCGCCACGGGGAACCAGCAGAGATGACAGCAAAGATCCTGACACACAGTGCCTGGCACACAGCCAATAGCAGGCTGCTGGGTTTGTTTTGTCCTAGCTGAGCTCTGCCATCGCCACTCACATGGCCTCTGTATCTGAGCCAAGAGCCCCAGAGGTAACAGGGCTCTATTTGACAGGTAGGGAAACTGAGACTCAAAGAGGCTGAGTAACTTCTGAGGTGCCACAGTCAGGGAGCGGGTGAGGCTGCACCACCAGCCAGGGTCCTGTGCTCTTAACCTCTGTACTCTGCAGGCCCCTAGAAGTGAGGCGGTCAGGAGGCAAAATGATGCACATGGAGGGGCAGCTCCAAGTAGCTGGGGTGCACAGGCCTTTGGCTCATGAGCCCCTCCCACTACCAGGCAGAAGAGACAACTCCTCCTAAGAAAAGGCTTGGAAAGCACTTCTCAGCTTATCAAAGGGCTTTTGCAAACATCTCATCTAATTGAGGCGAGCAGCAGGAGGAGGTTGTCATTAAGCACCCTGGCTGCTAAGGTCCCCAGCCCCATGGCAGGTTCCCCCATCCTGCTCTTCCAGGTCCCCTAGTGGGCACAGGAAGTCAGGATGTAAGGAGACCCATAGGAGTGGGAAAAGGCACCCCCTGTGAGGGATCAGGGACAAGAAAGCCTCCTGGTGCCACCTGTGACACTGGGCACAGATGCAGGGGCCATGTGTGGGAGGCAGGGGAGAAAAGTGAACCCTGTCCACTCAGCCCAGTCTCAGCCCCAGGAGCCTCGGCCAGAGAGAGCCAGGGTGAGGGCCATCACCTCTGTGATTCCCCCAGTACTGTGAGGGATACACAGCCGGGTAGGTAGGGACACCCAGGGAGTGGGCAGCAATCCAGGCCCAGATGGAAACCCGTCCTCATTTCCCTTGGCCCCCACCCCAGACTCAGCTGCTTCTACAGAACAATACCAATGCCGCTCCTCTGGACTAGTTCCCACCTGGGCCCCCAACAGTCCATCCACAAGGCAGGGCCTCTGCCATGACCCAAGTGCGTCATGCACAGCAGCCATGCTCCTAAGATGCCCCAAGTCCGTGACCACAATGGCTCCGCTCACTGTCCCCATAAGAGCCACACACGAGCTAATTCCCACCGGAGTCTTCACCTCACAACGCTCCCACTGTCCAGCTGGGGAAACAGGCACAGACCATTTCAGTGACTCCCACCCTACGGGGCACGCTCTGATAGACTATGCCTGCTAGCCCCTGAGCCGTGCCTCTGCCCCCGAGCTTGGAATCACCCACTCCCCCTATCCATCATCATACTCACCCCTCGCCCTCGGCCAGGGCCCACCTGGCTCAAACCACAATCCTGCAGGGTCCAGGCAGCACTGGGGCCGAGCTGCTCCTGCACCTTTTACCACAAACGTGCCCCCGGGTCCTTGCATGAATATACTGAAGAGCCCTAAAGGTGTGTGGGCAGCTCTGCACCTCCCTGAGGATGAGAAGGAAAGAGGAGCTCCCCTTACACAATCTACTTCTCAGGGAGACAAAGGTCACTTGAGGGGCAGTCCCAGGAAAGCCCTTCTTCTCAACAGTGGGGCAAGTGGCAGCTTCTCCTGTGAGGACGCCTGTGTCCTGAGAGTTGCCTGGGCCTGACAGCTTCCCCTTCCCAGCCACTGTGCTATCGGAGGTCAGCCAGCACCCTGCAGACGCTGAGTCCGCCACGCCTCCCTAGCCTGGCTCAGCTGGAAAGGAAGCCGGGAGCCACTTCCAACACACTGCAGAGGTGTGAGCTCACTCCGGAAACTCCCTCAGGCCATGGAGCGGCACCTAGGCCTGCTCCAAAGCCTGGGGCAGAGATCCCAGGGGATGTGCAAGTGGAAGGTCACCAGGAAAAACACACACTTCCCTTATGCTGCACCAAGGACAGGTCGGGGTGGGCAGACCCAAAGGGAAGCGTTGGGTGGCTCATCCAAGTCACTGGGACACACCTGACCTCCTCCCGCTCTGATCTAGTGTCTGTCTGGGGCAAAGTTCATACAAGTAGGACAGGGATCCTGGTGGAGGCCACAGCAGTGTCCAGAGCTCAGGGTATAGAAAAAAAACTCCACCACTGGCCCCAGAACAAAACTGAGACCTGACATGGCCCCCTCAGTGAGTGTGTGGCCATGACTTAGTCCACCGCTTACAGGAACCGAAGTTTCCTTCCTGGATTCTAGAGTGTGAATGTGGGTGGGGGTGGGGGTGATGCCAGGAGCAGCAGTGGCTCGGGGATGCGTCAACCGTGTAGGAGTCACTGGGTGATTAGTTTACCAGGCTTTTCCAGTGAGCCTGGGGATGAAGAGCTCTGTACAGGTCTGGATGCTCAGCCCTGTGCCTCGAGAGAGACACACAATGGGGGCCATTAGGACTGTTTTCTGCCCAAAGGAAGGGTGGGTATTTCACTCCAGTCTGTTACGGTAAAAAGATCAAAACCAAAAACCAACCACATACCTCCACCTGCTGCCCTCTTGCTCTGCCAGGGTCCCCAGGCAAGGGGGCCAGGTATTAGAGTGGACAGGACTGGGGGAATGGAAAACTATTAGGAAATAGGAAGTGAGGGCCAGGGAGTGGCCTGGGCTCCTGGGCACAGATGTGGCTGCCTCATTTGACGCTGTCCTACTGGCCACCATCCTCAATACCAGAAAGCTGGGAGTCCAGCTCCAACAGTTCCCAGTCATCCCTACCAGGGTCTGCCGGGCCCGCAGCTTTGATCTTCCATCCCTCACAGCCGCTCAGCTGATGCCATGATCAGCTGCCTCCTCCACTAGCGAGGTCCCCACCATCACACTGCAGGAAGGGAGATCAGGGAGCCACGGGAACAAGGAGCCCTGCTTCTCCTCAGGTATTATTTTCCTGGTATAAGTAACTGGAGTTAGGTGTGCACTCAGAAGGGAAAATTCCAGCAGGTCTCACGTCCACGCCAGTTTCAGCAATCCAGCTTTGGGAACACCTATGGGGCCAGGGCTCACCCTGTCACTTTCCATCCTCGGGGATATCTGAGCTCAAGGGCTGCCCTGGGGTAAAGAACCTCTTTCCCAGCTTGCCCTCCACAGCACCCAAGTCTGGTTCCTGCTGGGCCTATGTGAGAGGGGGAATCAGACTCCAAAGCACACCGCTTGCCAGGGGAATAACTGCCCTCCTTACCCTCATCTCCTTCCAAGCTGCTCCCTTTGGGCCGGGGATTTAGCTGCACAAGTGCGAAGGACCCAAGTTCAATTCCCGGTACCCCAAAAAAACCCCAACCTGCTCCCTTCACCACTGAGGAAACTGAGGCTGAGAGGGGAATCAATGAGTAGGACTCTGATGGACCAGGTGCTAGGGGTGTTCCTCAATCTCAGCGCGGCACTATCAACCTTTTGGACTGAACAGTTCTGTTTGATGTTTAGCAGCATCCTCAGCCTTTACTTTCAAAAGCCCAGTAGCAACAACACTCGCCTCCCCTCCTAAGTCTGTGACAACCAGGATGTCTCTAGACATTGCCAAATATCCTCTGGCAGGCAAAAGTCCCTGACCTTCAATCCCTCAATAGCCAGGAGTGTGACACACACCTGTAATCCCAGCACTCCGGGAGGCTGAGGCAGGAGAACTGCAAATTCGAGCCCAGCCTGGGTAAACTGGGTGACTTAGTGAGAATCTGTCTCAAAATAAAAAATTTAAAGGGGGTGGGGGGACTGGGGATGTAGTTCGGTGTGAAGGCACTGAGTTCAATCCCAGTATTAAAAAAAAGTGCCAGTTCCCAGTTGAGAACTACTGCTCTAAAACAAGCTTCACTTTCCCCTCCCCACTCTACTGTGACAACGGCATAACACTGACACTGGGTTCACTCTTCCACTAGCAAGTGTCACGCACACTGGGGTCCTAGGTCTAGCCTCGTGAGGGAGATTTCTCCTTCACCGCGCTCGCTCTCTCTGTGTCTCTCCTCTCTCATAGCCCCAACCCTCTCCCTCTCCCTTGGTCTTTCACTGAGCTGGGAAATCCCGGACAGCTGGGTTCCCTCTCTGCCCTGGGGTAGGTCAGCTCTCCATAACCTCCAACCCGATGCCCTAAAGAAGAGCAGAGGGGGGCAAACTGGTAGAAGGCAAGCAGAGGGCCCACTATCCCAAGCCCCTCAGTCCAGAAGTCGGGGCTCCAGGGTCCAAGTGCAGAGCTCCGGAGCAGCCTGGCCCCGCCCCGCCCCGCCCCGCCCGCACCTGTTCCACCTCGGTGAGGCTCCGCGCACAAACTTCGGCCCCGCCGCCCGGAGCTCACCCGGGACAAGCGGGAGGGCGGGGAGGTCTGAACTGCCGGCTCTTGTGGGGCGAGGGCGGGGCCGCGCTCCGGCCCGGACAGTCCCCTCTCCTCCTTCCGGGCCTTCAATCGACGTGTCCCGAGTGCGGAGACTCGCGCCTGGACCCAGCGTCGGAGCCGAGTCCGAGTCTTGCGGTCCCGCGGGCGCAGAGTCCGCCCCCGGCCTCCGAGGGGGCCCACGTGGGTGGCGGGCGCTCGCCAGGGCGGGCGCGTCCCTCCCCCGTCAGGCGCCCCGGACGCAACCCCGCGACCCTCCGGCGCCCGGCCCCGCCTGCCGACCCGTGCGCGCAGCCCAGCGCTCACCTCCGCGCGGCCCCAAGTCCCAGGACGCAGCTGGGAGCGACGCTGGTGGGCGGCTGGGCGGTGGTTCCTCGGGGGCGGGGCGCCGGCGCTCCGCCTCCTCGTTACCTGCGCTCGGGCCGGCAGGGGGCGGGAGGGGGCGGGGACGAGGGCGGGGCTCCGCTCGCAGAGCTCCTCCCTTTGCCCCAGTCCCGCGGGGTCTTCGCAGGGGCAGAGCCCTGTTTTCCTACCACCTGACCTCTTCCTTGCGCCTTCCTCTCCCTTCCTGGCACGAAGCACATGCCCTAGGTCTGCACTGCCACCATCACGCCTCCTCCTAAGGAAAAGTCCCCCGATTCTCCCCTCCCCCTCCTCTAGCGCCCCGTTCTCGGGCCAAGCCGGCTGTTCCCTCGAACCCTGTCCAGGTGTACTTATCACAGCCTGTGGGCCTTCTGTGAGGAACGAGTAGTGGAGTGGAGCATGTCAAATTGTCTCCTTTAGGGCCGGGGATTTAGCTCAGTGGTGCCGCCTGCCTCGGAAGCACAAGATCCTGAGTTCAATCCCCGGTACTGCCCCCCAAATTGTCTCCTTGAATGTGTAACTATTGACGTAATACAGGCGCTCCTGGCAGAGAAACTGAATGCAAGCTGACCGAAAGAAAGCCTGTCTGGGATGCAAGTTGTGATCACTCTGGTGCCAGATGCTGGCCTGCCCTGGGTCCCTTCCAGGCTCTTGTCCTGTTCAAAGACTTGGACGAGACAACCGAATAACGTAGAGGTTTAACATTTATTACAGGTGACAGTAGGGAGGAAAGAAGAGAAAAGTGTTCTTGGCTGGGAATAGTGGTGCACACCTTAATCCCAGCACCTGGGAGGCTGGGAGAAGAGGCTCACCGTGAGTTTGAGGCCAGCCCGAACTGCATGATGAGACTGTCTCAAAATAAATAAAATAAAAAAGAGGTCCTCTGAAGAGTGAGAGTGGGAAAAGAAAATATACCACTTCAAGGGAAAGACAGTGTTCCTGAGTCCGATGCTTGCCATTCTTTTATATCCCCATTCAGCCATCAGATCGGGGCTGACCTAGGCAGGGCTCTGAGGCTGTTCTGCAAATGTCTCCTGGCCATGATTGACAGGTCTCCATAATTGACAGGTCAAGCCCAACTTCCTGTCCAGTTGCCATCCCCTAATCTCCTGCCTCAACCCCATTCCCATGGCCCCTCCTCAAACATTTATATAAACCCCAGCCTTCCATCCTGATGGCATGGTTCTCTTGGACTTGCCCACTGCACCTTGCACAGCATCATGGATTGAACCCAGGGCTTTCACATTGAGACACATTCCTAGTCCTTTATTAATTTTTAAAAATATCCAGTAATTTAAACCAGTTTGTACCTTTCTGTGGTACATGAAAGTAATCTTTAACCTTTTTTGCAGTTACATTTAATCTTTGGGGACATACAGTGTAATCTGAAGAGTAACAGTTCCATTCATTTCCAGGTCTGCTTACTGTATGACTAGGTACACAGGCAGAGGAGCTGTCCTTGTCATTACATTGAAACACTGACCTTGTGCCTTGAGAAAGAGCCGACTAAACAAGATGACAGTAGCACAATGGGGAGACCTTGGGACTGCCTATTTAGAATGTAGGTAAAGTAATTAATAAAAAATTCATAAAG